CACCTCATCCACGTAACTCAAGCACAACTGACGTGCCTCGTTAATGCGATCCGCGAGAGCACCGTTCTGATCAGGCGGCAGGTGGACCTTGGCCCAGGACAGATCGGCGCACAATTCGGCCACTTGCTTTACCAGGAGGTCATGAGACAACACAGGTGTACAAGCGTTTGTCACAGAATGGGACATTGGGCTAGTCGCACCGCACAATGATGGCGCCACGATCATCTCTTTCTCCTCGGGGAAAGTATCGCCGCATGATGAGACAAGCGGCGGGAAGCGGGAGACACTTGAAGGTGCCCAGCTTAATCGCTTGTCCATAGAGGCTTGCTTTATCGCGCCTGAAAATGACTGCTGCTGGGGCGGCTGCTGTTGCTCCTTCTGTTGCTGTTTTATCCTCTGCACCACATGAGACTGTTGCCATTCCGGTACTGAGTCGGTCGGAGTGAGCGAGGTGGCTGAGTCACTGGTGCCCTTAGACGACATCGATGCTTGCCTTAGGCGGGACTTGGAAGCAAGAATGAGTTCCGTGGTGAGCTGAGAGGAGCTACCCGTCTCGGCTGGATCCTGAACCACGGTTCTTGACGTTGTAGTCTGCGTGAGTACAGGCAAGGTAAAGGGCACAGATGGCTTCTGAGGTCCACTGCTACCATTTTCAGCAGTCTCCTTGCTCTCGGCTTTAATGTCCGCCGTCTTCGAGACCGACTGCAGTTGCCGCTTCAGTCGGGAGGACAACTCGTTCTGGAAGTCCTTCGGAGGAACAGGCCCACCAAGGAACATGGAGTTGTTAGGTAGGCTGGAACGCGGCGCTGACTGAGAGGAATCCGTGGCGCTACTCTGTGTGGTGTTTATAACCCTTCCGAGACACCGAAGTGGACTGCAGCCAGGAGTGTCTGGGGGCGACGGCGGAAGTTCATGCTCTGTACCAGAGGCTTTGCGGGAGAGAAAACCAGATCCGTCCGGGTGGGGTGCCGGTGGGATGAAAATCCGTTGGGATGCAGAGGATTGCGTTGAATCAGATCGATGAGGAGGCAGAGGTGTTGGTCGACGAGCAATCGGAGCTGTGGCTATAGAGGTGGGATACATAAAACGGTTATGTGCTTTGAGACAGTTTAACGAAGCACAAAGTACAAAATGAAGCATCAAGCTAAGAAACATCAGTTAGGCTCAAAGACCTGTCCTAAACATTACCTACTCTGAAAAATTGGCGGAGAGTATGGGATGGAAACCTGGATTTGGCGACACCGTATATTTATGTGTAATGACCACCACAAGAAGAAGCAAACAGCCCTATTCGGTTTCAAATAGCAAATAATCACCTTTTTATGCCTTACCATTTTGACATTTCATGAATTTTGAAGGATAGAAGGGAATACCAGGTGACAAAAACCTATGGTCGATCAACCGAAATTCTCTAGAAATGGCCTCTTGGCCAAAAAATGTTCAGTCCAATAAAAAATTTCCCAAGAAATCGGATTCTACAATCACGCTACAGTGGCTACTAAGGTCACTCAATGAAAAGTCGTAGGACAGCACTTACACAACGCACGTTAACATTTTTGCACAGACCATTACGTGGCCATTACGAAAAGACAGACAACTGACACAATCATGGAGGCCGTTAGCATCAGCAGAAAGCAGAAAGTAATTATTAATTCATTCGGACACAATTGGAGATAAAGAAAACCTTGGTGGACCTAAACACTCCAAGCCCAGATATGAAGGGAGATATGCTGAAAAAAAATCTACACAAACACAAAGTAGAGGAAGAGAAGATTTTGGTGGCAAACGTAGACGAGGCTCAGAGAGACAACTGTTGAGAGAGAGAGAAAAAGCCAACTCAATGGCGCACGACTTGAAGATATCCATCGGAGCACATAGTCGAGGCTGATTGTGGAAAAAGAATTCGGTGGCAAACGATACAGTTCCAAAATTCCTGTCGAGTAAAAAACACAGTTTTGTTTCTGCCAAATGACGTTGAACATACCGAACGTAGTTGGATCCCCTGGCATGATGGAAAGCAATAAAAGCAACTTAGAGGAGTCTTTACAAACCCGCTTCCGATAACTGCTACAGAAAAGCTGATGTAAGCGAATCTACGATGTCTCCAATCTACTGGCTGTAACTTCATTACTCAGTTTATACACTAACGTACCTCCTAATTCATGCAGTCGAGTTTCTTAGTTTAGATTTGCTTGGCTTTCATAGTGCAGTCGAGTCCTCAAAGCCT